CTGATGTGTAGTTTGTAACACAGCTTTTCCTGTTGAGCAAAAGCTATGTTTTGTACTCAAGCAGGAGCACTGAGAACCCTGCATTCAGTACAGTCATGTGAATGAAAAGGAAATCCAAGAGTAAGAGCAGCACAGCTACAGAATTTTATTACATTCTGTGTGTGTCATTGTCTTTTGATAGAAACGTCTCAGTATTTTGCTTCCTTATTGCAGACATCAGAAACTACTGAAAGTAGGTGTAAATATGACATGCAATTCTTAAGGCGAAATGTAATTTAATTTGACTTGTATCAACCCTTTTCCTTTTTAGCACTTTTTTTCCCACCTTTAAACTTTCCTTTTTTCTTCCTTTTTGCACTGCGTGATTGCTTTTGTTTCTTTTTCTTCTTTCCAGACTTTGTTCTTTCTCTGATGGGTGAAAAGCCCCTCCCACTTGAAGCATCATTGCCAGAGGGATCTATGTGCAGTGTTCCAATATCCATGCGTAGGTAAGAGTCATACAGGAACTCACCACAGCTAAGCCCACTGCAGAATTCTTCTCCACATTCTGCACAAACTGCTGCTCGTGTTTCAGTGATTCCTGCCCGATTCTTCTTCCGATGGATGTGGATTGGCCCGTTTGTTGCTCTCTTTTCTTGAGCTGCAGTTCGTAAGTGGAGCTTTCCCATTGTGACCAGTCTGTTCAGATAACATTCTGATTTAATTTGTTTTACATTTTGATATGTTTCTGCTATATCAGGCAGTGATACTTAGAGGTTCGTGACAATGATTGACCCTGCAAGTGATCCAGTGGTTTGTATACAAATCTAGTACTCAAAGAGTATCTTGTTCAATTTTGAAAGTATTAATTAATTTGTATAAAGGAAATAAAAATTGCTTTTCACTATAATGACAACCAATCACATGAAGGTGGTGGTACTGCCTATTCCAGAAATGTCGTGTTTTTCAAATATATATCAGACAATGTACGGAGTTGAGTAGTTTGTTGTAATTTTGATTTTAAAGTAGGAATTTTGGTAAGGACATTTATACATAGTAAGTTATTTTCCCTTCCACATAATGAAATTCATTAAAACTTTTTATATTCTGAGACCAGCCAATTAATGCTAGGTCAAAGGTACACAACTAAGATGGTTAAATCTGTCTCATCATGGGCAGGGCTGGAATATTTGTGAAATAAATGGTAGAGTAGGAAAACAGGACTCGAAGAGGGATGATGACAGCCTTCTGGGATATAGTGTTGTCTTAGAAGGTGACCAATGTTTCAGAGGTGCTTACTGCCTTCATTATCAGGGCAATGAGTAACAGTGCGGGTAAGAGCAGGTGGAAAAATATGGGCAGGCTGGACCAGCACAAAACTTGTCTGGACCAATGGATGAGATGGGGAGGATCCAGGGGGAGATACATATTCTAGCTGCGTCAACAGATTTGTAGTTAAAACATGGAAGATATTTCACTTGTCAATTACATGGAACACCTTTACATTCTTGATGCAATTTTTGTCATAGATTTTAGAGTTTACAAACCTAGAAAACATTTCTTCTTCTAACTTGGATTTGGGGCGGATAGAAGTGAGCATTTTCCAGTCAATAGCAACTGGATTGAGGTCTTCAAGTGCCACAGCACGCATATCAGGTGGGATTGGATTTGCATAAGCATAGTCCCGTTGCTTGATTTCTCGCTTTGAAGGATGGAAAGTGAAGTCTTTGTCATGCACTTTCACATCTTCTTCTCGTACCTGTCATAAGGAAGTCCATGCTAGCAATCTGCTTAAGATACTGCGATTACAAAAGCAGTATGAGGTTATATCACATAGTAGCAAACAGTGTGAATACAAATATATGCCCATTGATACATGCAAATGTATGTTTTATATGCAAAATAAGTTCTTTCAAAGTCAAACTCACCTTTTCTGGTCTTATCTTGTACTCAGGAACCTTATCAAGCAGCCTTTGAAACTCTTCCTTGGACTGTATAGTACTTCGTGATAAGTCAAGCACTTGTGGAACCTCTGTCTTTTTCCCAAATAAATCATCCAGTTTAATTGTTGCCATGTTGTCACTTATTACAGGATTTTCAACCAGAGTCTTTCATCTGCTTTTGTCCTTAAACTAGTTTATTCAATATCTATGAAAAGTTTATCAAATGTTAAGGTATTATTGTCAGTATCACAGAGGTGGGGGTTCCTTCACTTATGCCCATTTAATGACTAAATTTGTTACAAAGTGTGTTGTCATTTAACAGAGTCTAGTTTCCATACGTTATTAGAGTGGTGCTTCATGCTGATCTTTATTTTGTCCTTTCTGCATAAACAGTCCTTTCACTTGTATCTTTTATCAAAATATCTAGAAGGCACATGAGGTTAATAAAACAGTATTTCTTATTCCTTTGGTATCTCTTGTTCTCTTCTGTGGAAGAGTGTGACATCTGGAAAGAAGAAATAAGTATGAGTACATTTTAATACTCATCTGGCTATAAGTCTTCCTTCATGTAAATTCTATATTGTATATAGTTTTCAAAAAAGGCATTATTATGGTTATTTTGGAAAAAGATAATTCTTCTAAGAAAAGAAAACTGCAAAATAATTTCTCCTGAAAAGCATGGCTAGAGTGTGCAAATAAAAAAAAGTATAACAGTGCTTGGGGTCAAATGATGCTGATTGTCCACAGTGCCACTTAAGTAGGGCGTAAATTTAATATGAATGGAATAAAACACAGTAAAAATACTGGAAAATAAAATGACCTAACATGTTTGGTCATTTGTGGATATAACTATTATATTCAGAGGCAGGAAGTGTTAATGAATATACTGTGCAATGCACTTTCACATCTTCTTCTCGTACCTGTCATAAGGAAGTCCATGCTAGCAATCTGCTTAAGATACTGCGATTACAAAAGCAGTATGAGGTTATATCACATAGTAGCAAACAGTGTGAATACAAATATATGCCCATTGATACATGCAAATGTATGTTTTATATGCAAAATAAGTTCTTTCAAAGTCAAACTCACCTTTTCTGGTCTTATCTTGTACTCAGGAACCTTATCAAGCAGCCTTTGAAACTCTTCCTTGGACTGTATAGTACTTCGTGATAAGTCAAGCACTTGTGGAACCTCTGTCTTTTTCCCAAATAAATCATCCAGTTTAATTGTTGCCATGTTGTCACTTATTACAGGATTTTCAACCAGAGTCTTTCATCTGCTTTTGTCCTTAAACTAGTTTATTCAATATCTATGAAAAGTTTATCAAATGTTAAGGTATTATTGTCAGTATCACAGAGGTGGGGGTTCCTTCACTTATGCCCATTTAATGACTAAATTTGTTACAAAGTGTGTTGTCATTTAACAGAGTCTAGTTTCCATACGTTATTAGAGTGGTGCTTCATGCTGATCTTTATTTTGTCCTTTCTGCATAAACAGTCCTTTCACTTGTATCTTTTATCAAAATATCTAGAAGGCACATGAGGTTAATAAAACAGTATTTCTTATTCCTTTGGTATCTCTTGTTCTCTTCTGTGGAAGAGTGTGACATCTGGAAAGAAGAAATAAGTATGAGTACATTTTAATACTCATCTGGCTATAAGTCTTCCTTCATGTAAATTCTATATTGTATATAGTTTTCAAAAAAGGCATTATTATGGTTATTTTGGAAAAAGATAATTCTTCTAAGAAAAGAAAACTGCAAAATAATTTCTCCTGAAAAGCATGGCTAGAGTGTGCAAATAAAAAAAAGTATAACAGTGCTTGGGGTCAAATGATGCTGATTGTCCACAGTGCCACTTAAGTAGGGCGTAAATTTAATATGAATGGAATAAAACACAGTAAAAATACTGGAAAATAAAATGACCTAACATGTTTGGTCATTTGTGGATATAACTATTATATTCAGAGGCAGGAAGTGTTAATGAATATACTGTGCAATATACACACACACACACATACATACATACATACATATACATATACTATTGTAAAATATTTTAGTTAATTATTTATATTTTTTTCAACAAAGCATTCAATATCTAAACTCAGATAGTCATATGAAAGACTCATATAAAACTGTTGCCTATAATGGCACATATAGTGTCAGCATGTCATACAAGATTTACACTATCTGCGTTGGTAATTATGTTTCTGTTCTTTGTATTGATACTTCATAATAGGAAATGAGATGACTGTGTTCTTTCAAATAGTAACCAGTGCTATAATAAATGTATTAGCCAATAATGTTATGAATACTGAGCCAAGTCTCTAATCACACTTTTATTTTCAAAACTTCTTTCATAATATATTTCTTCTCTGAAGACACACTTTAAGGTGAAATATCATACATATAATTATTCCAAGAATTTCTGTAATCAAACTCATTAAAATAAAATAACAATACAGCATAATTGTTACTGGTGTTTGTTTTCTGGAGTATAGTAAACAAACAGGCTATATTAGTTGATTTTTAACTTGTTAGTCACCCTGTTAACCCTGAACTTATAATTCATCTGCATCAGTCATCACACTTGTAACAAACTCTTTCAGCACAGTGTCTTCTGCAGGTAGGAATTTTAAATATCTGAGTTCTGCTTGACAGCATTCTATCTCAAGATTTCCATGAAGATTCAGAATAAGGAGTGTGGCTCCTAGTTGTGTCCCACTCTTGCTGTTTCATTAGTAGTCCCTGAAACAAGAAGAAAGTATTAGCTTAGTTTATGTTTGCTCTTATTTCTGTTATCAAGATGGCATTTTGTTAACAGGTTACATAGTTTATTAACCAGTATGAGGGTACAGAGAATTATTAAAGATTTGAAACATGTAGTACAGTTTTTAATTCACTGAAAATACAAGTGCAATGACATCCTCTCCCTAGAGAATCCAAGAATTTTCCTTCTTTAAAATGTTTCTCTGCCACTCTGCTACCTTGTTTTAAAATAAATGGTAGCTTACCTTTTTAAGTGAAGACAGTTGTAATAGGATATCTTTTGCTGTTGACCATTGTTCCTTTGTATCGCTGCATATTCTAACAGGCATCTCATTCTGCCTGTTCAACAAACGTGTGGACCCTGCAAGGATTAAACAAGGCCACAGTAAATGTATAACAACAAATAAACAGTTACTTATAGATATTAATAAAATGCAGACTCATGCCTCGTGTATAGGATTTGAGGTTCTCACAGTGGTAAATATGAAGATGTAGTGCCATGTAGTCTGGTAGAAGACATGATGCTACAATCCAGAAGACAGCCATTTTATGCATTGGTTTAGTAATGTTGTCCCCCCACCCTTCGTATTAGAACATTATTTAACATTCCACTGACTGAGTATCTGCTCACACCTTTAACTGAAAAGTGTTGTGCTTCATTTGATGGCATTCTGTGGCTTGAAGTGTGCTGGTAAATACCTTTTCTGTTGTTTGTATTTTCTGTAAGATGTTGATTAATATTTGGTGATGGAACAACCATTTGCTCTTGTTTTCTGGGTATATCAACAGCATAATTTCTGTCTCTCAATAACACATCTTTACTATGTAATTGTTCATTCTCTGCAGCTGACATAAGAAACCTGTCTTCATGTTTATCCAGTTTATTTGCATTCCTGTCAAAGTTTCTTGTCCTATGATGAAAGTAAACATTCTTATTGTTGTTTCCGTTATTTGAATGTCGTGGTCTTTGATGTGGAGATGGAGACCTGTAACAAAAGTATGTGAAGAAACATTAATGTCAGACTTTGTTGAAAATTATAACTCTGATGAACAAAATTCAAAATAAAGAATAAGCCCAGAGAATATGAAATAATTCGAAATATGAGCTATTAATTATTTATTTGTACCATTAATGTTACTATTTTTGAACAAAACTTGAATGTTGGAATCACTGACAAGATAAATTAAAAAAATAAGTAATAGTTTATAATTATGGTTATATATAATTATAAATATAATTTCTGCTGTCGAATGCTGTCTTTCTAATACTTTTGTATGACATTTGTTAGTCAAGTTTCATCCACTCCATTTAATTTCCCTACCTGCAATGGCCTGTCAACAAATATAACAGAATCCCAAGGGATCTGAACATTGTTTAATTTCAGACATGCTTGCATAAGACTTAACAATGATGCACAATACATACCCCATGTATGTACATTTATTTATAATTCATACTATGTTCATTTATGATTTAGTCTATCATGTCATAAAAATTATGCTTTACGGTTATGACCTGCTGTTCTCATCACTACTGCCTCTTGTGTGACAGGGTTTGCCGTGTGAAGCAGTGTCACTTTCAGTTCCAGTGTCTCCACCACCCATCAGAGTTGCCCTGAGCAATTTTTGTCTCAGACGGCGTTGATAGTAAGGATCTTTTTCACTTTGCTTGATGTATTGAGTCTCTGGTCTGTTAACACCCCATTTGGGACGATCCTCCAGCCTCATTCGGGGTTGTGTTGGCTGTGATTGTGAGCGACACCGTAGTGGTAGTTTGCACCCTCGATGTGGTCGCTCCAGACTTGCAGATCTAAAGAAAATGTTATTTGATTAGCTGTCATTAGGTTTAAAAACATAAGATAGTATACCCAAATAGGTGAAAGGAATAGTCAGTTGCTGTATTTCTTGGAAAGTGAAGGTAGCATGTGGGATGCTTCCTTTAATTGTCAGACTGGAACTGGATTTGTCAGACACCAGAAAAGACTGCTTTATATTTTTAAATTGTAGGGCTTAAATCATATGTTTTCCTTACTTTATACTGCGGGATATGTTTATATGTATAATTTTCATGAAGGTGTTTAAGAGTGTAATGACACCATTCAAATGTCCCATTGAATTTCAGCAATGTTTTGCTAATTTACATATAACTGATGTAAATATAGACAATATGTGTTCTTACTTTTTCCTGTCCTTTCTTTTAATTTGGCTGTAAGCTTTTCCTTTTCCCCATCTTCCTCTGCTTCTTGTATTAATATCTGAGTCAGTCTGAGTTCCCCGCTCATGTCCCATTGCTCGGTACTTGCTGGGTGTAAGAAGTCTATTATCCAGCACCAGGGGTTGTTGTAATGAAGGAGACATCAGTAGTGCTAACTGAACACCTCCACTTGCAGCTGGTAACACATCGTGAGAACATTTCTCTGTTGTGTTGCCTAACATTACTGCTAGTCCGTCTGCAGGCATAGCAATTGTCTCTGCAGCTATTAATAAAGCTTCACTATGTGTTTCAACTCCAGTTTGTGTTCCATCATGCATTCTCAAAACTTCTTCATGTTCTCTTGGCACATTCTTAGAACCGTGATTAGAAACGGAAATATCATTGCAAAGATTCGTAACAGAATCTTTAACCTGAGTTGTATTTTGTATTGTCGAAGTTGTGTTACCAATTACAGAACTTTCAGCTGTTGAATTAGAGTCAAACCAACTTTTATTTTCATGTGTGTCTGTAATTGCAATGGCACTGCTACTGTCTTTAATAGATTCTAGCACATGTTTCCGGCTTGCCCGACTCTTCTCTTCTCTAGCCTTCTTCTCAGCGTTCTCAAGTGCCTCTCGCATTGCTGCAGCTTTGCGAACTTCTTTGTCCTAAAATAGAAAATGAATCTTCAGTTTCCTTAAAATACAGGGAATCTCTTGACTAGTTGAATGCACTAATGCTATCTTAAGAAGGTTCGTGTTCCATGGAGTTAGTTATTCAATCAGACAGTTAGTTTTTGACTGAAACTTGAAAGTGATTTGCAAGAGACTAGCATTTCAATTGAAAATTGAAGATTTGATTAAGGTATGTTATGTGTATATTTGAAATCAAATGATACATTTTTAGAAACTTGATGAAGTTTGGTAAGTGAATAGATAACACAGATTAATGTTCTTGTTTCATACACATGATGTTGGCAACTACAATTTTGAGTACAGGTGTTTGAGCATAAAACTTTTGTTTCATCTGACTTATTGAGGCATTTCAATCCAGTCTATTATTACCATTTCCATTTTCAGAATTTTGTCATGGGCTTTCTTTGTGTGTACATTAAAAAATTTCAGACCTATATCTTTGGGAAGGAAATCTACAATGCTGTTAAAGTCCCATTCATTCAATTACTGCTGCTACTATCTATGATGATATAAGAAAATATTAAATTTTCTTACCAAACTTGTACGATTTATTACCTCTCTTTCTTTGACCCATCTTTGTTCTTCTTCAATTCTCTTTTTCTCTATTTCTTGTTCACGTTTTATCCTTTCTTCCTCTTCTTTTTCCTCTCTTATTCTTCTTTCTCTCTCTTCCTTTCTTGTGCGTTCTCTCTCCTCTAACTATGAACGTAAAGTAATTATGAAAATATGTCATGGAAGAGTATAAATTAATTGCATATATGAGTGGCTTGTACTTAGAGGCTTTAAGTTTTTGAAGCATAAAAGAGATTTAGATTTTAAACTTGCATAAAGGGTTTCAGGAGAGGAGCTGACAGAACCAAGTGGCAATAGGATAATAAATAACTGTATGAACCAATATACTAGTAAAAATGTACAATACCTACTTTCCTTTAACTGCTTAGAATTTTACTGTAAAGTGTAAAATTCAAAGGTATACTTTTCCCCACATTTTTACTAGTATAGATATATTTTACACAATCCGAGAGTTTTTCATTATCTCCATGTTTATAATTTTGTAGCAATGAATAATGTTTCATAAAAAAATTGTACGTTTCTGATCCTGAACATTTGAGACTATTAAAATTATTTTATTTGTGTTTTAGGCCAACACAAGATGTGCTAATCTATTTTGAAAAACTCTACTGCACAGGCTTCTCCATTTCCACTTTAATTACAACACACATAATGACAAGTGAAGTTATTTAATTACATTTTAATTTGCTACCTGTAAGCGAATGGCATTCTGGTGTTCTAGAGCCTTTTGTCTCTTCCTCTCTCTTTCTAGTAATACATCTGCTTCCAGTGGTGCATTTTGGCCTCGTATGAATGTTCTGCCAATAATAATGATCAAATATCAGGAAATATGTATTTTATAAACAAGAAGATATGTTAAGAAAATATATGAATAGCATAAAACTTCCAGCATGTTTGTCATAATTTGACCTTTAATATTTGAAGCTGTGTTACAACGATGAAATATTATTACAAACCATTAGAATACAATCTTACCTGTTACACTCGCTTTGTGATGGAGTACTGATAGTATCACAACTATCAGCAAGCTCTCTGCTAAGAAGACTCTGTGTTGGACTGCCATGGTTGATCACTAACACTTGAGTGGACGAACCAATTGAAGACTCACAGTTGCTGATTTTACTGAGGCCCCTTTCCAACCAACTTGGTGTAGCCCCACCACTAGCATGCACCTAAAATGATGAAGCACACAATCTCACTACTTACCTCCAAAAATGAGAATTCTTCTTGAGAATGTTACTTTTGATGTTCACAAAAGCCAACCACTGGTTCTTATCATGAGCTAGATGATGAAATCCTCATACTCGTAGGTCAATACCTACCAGACTATACGTGCTATATGACAGAATACAGCCCCCTTCAAGTCATATGACGTCCTCTAAATTTTAAATTCCCGCAAAAATCGATATGATTCGATAGAACGGAAGAATACAGTAACTTCTTTAAACAGCCAATAGATGTCAGCCAACTGCAGTTCTTAAATTAGTTTCAGAGAGTCCAGAACTACTTTAGTAAGCGAAAGCCACTAATAGATGTCACATACATCCACATTTGCTATTTATGGTACGAGTTTAAGCACTAGATGTCACACCATTTCAGATTTGTAAGAACTTTGTTCAATGAAGTAAGTTCAGGTTATGTGTACATTTGGGACTTATACTGGTTAATGGTGCACTGTGTGAAGATAATAAAAATTTTAGTTCAATGTTGTGGATTGGCTGTTGTGGTTCTGTTTTATTATAACAATAATTATACTATTTACATGGATTTTAATGCCCAAAATATGTGATCATCCATGGTAATTTTTTACTAATGCATAATAGATAAAGAAAGCCAAAAAAGGGTTTCAGCAGAAGCTGGAAAAGGGGTGATATTCTGTTACTGAAATCACATCTTGACTACCAAATTGAAGGATGCTGGAGATGTCATCAGGCTGAAATGGCAGAGGGTGAAGGTCACAGAGGTCATGAGCTGCTGTCCTGACTCTCTTAAAGTTTTAAGCATTATAGTTACAATAGCAGTGAATATAATGGTACCTGTGGTAACCTGGAATCTGGTTCATGAAGCGTTGGTTCCCACAAGTGTCCAACTCCAACCCCTCGATCTCCCCACCTCAGTCTGTTCACTTCATCACTGCCTCCGCTTGACCACAGCCGACATGGGGGTGTGGACACGACAGAATCTGGAGTCGCGTAACGCCTGAACATAAGGACAATTCGTTCTTTGTCAAAGATTTTGTGAAAATGTTTATGTTAAAAGTAGAATTCAGAATAATATGATTTTTAAACAATAAATTTTAATTGAAATGTTGAGTTACTAATTGTGAATTCAATCAGATAAAGATGAACATGTTATTCCAAATGCATATTTAAAGAATGTGAATGATGGAAGTATCATTTAAATGAAGCTGCAACAACTTAAGCCAGAATTTATTACATCTGGTCCAGGGACTCAATCTTGACTGAGTTATCCCGGCTCATCATTTCTTGAGGTAAATTTTATCAAAACGTCTCAACAATGAATTATTATTCCAACCCCTTTTGTTATCTCAGTAATAAATTAAACATGTGGGAAGTGAAACATTAAATCTTACATAACAGAATTGTTACTTCAACCCTACTCAAGTACAGCTGCTACATTTTTATTGGTATTTCCACCTATAACAATGGAAACAATAATAGTTGTTAGCATTGTAGCAAATGTGATTGTTTCGTCATATGGAGTTTAAAAAGTAAAAATACCTGTTTGAGGGTATCCAGGGTGCTTGTTTGTTCAAGTGTCTGGGCACCTTGTGATATGTTTGAGTATTGTTTGTCCAGCTGTCATGGCGGTGATATCTCTCCTGACGCTGCTGCTTCCAGTAGTCATTGTTGCGTTCATTTGAAGTACCGCCTGAATCACTTGCGTATCCTGAGGTCTCACCTTCCCTTTCGTCATCCTGCTCAATATTATTTTCATATTGCTGGCTACTTCTCATCAACTCTTCATCCTGTTACGTTTTGACACACAACAATTTTTGTTCTCAAAATTCAAGGGAACAATCTGGTTACTAATTTTGTTTAATTAAACCCATTAGATAAACAATACAGCGAGGATTTCAAATTATTGTTTTTATTATGATTGTGCATTGAAGCTTAAAATTGAATTTTAATTCTCTGTACTCAAAATGTAAGCTGGTATTTGCTAGTGGTCACATTGAAAGCCGTAGGATCGGCAAGTCCTATACAGCTCGTGACTTCGAGTTTTTCAGACGAAAATGACAAAAGGAAACGAAAGAATGTTTGGGAGACATGTGAGTGGGGAGTGAAAGGTATAATGAGAAATAAACATATGTTGCTGAGCCTTTTAGGTAATAATGCTTCCCAGGAGGGACTCAGATTAAAATTATAAACCCTGAGATTGCCTCATGTACTTCACTAAGTCCTTTGTCCTTTGCCGAACAAGAAAGTATCCCAATTTTTTTTACTGAACTTGAAAGTCCATTTTTACGAGAGTCTTTCGTTGTATTTTTTTCTTGAACAAGTTGAAACAAGTTTAGACACTCACATTCTGATTCTTTAAGATCCGTTTCAGTTTTGCATGACAGTCTACTACACCTAGGTCTCCAAGTTGGCATTTTACTTTGAGTTTTTAATTGAAATTTTGTATTCAGTTTGTCTTGCGTGCGTGCTACATGCCCCACCCATCTTATCACCAAATCTGCAGACCTGTAGTGAGGTGTGAAATTTTTAATTACGAAGCAGACGGATTCACTGAGCAATGGACAGCTTTTTGTCAGGTACCTTGGCGTGCATGCGGGTAGTACCTGACATGTGGGGACGGGTCTGTTGTAGATTGGTGGGAGGCTTGGACTGCGTTTTCGCCCCATCCTGGCCGCTTTAGCTTGTAGCTCAGAATAGTCGTAAGAACGGCATACCTCGTCCTGTTCTTGACGTTCCAGGTCTTTCGTGGACGATACGAAGCGGGTTCTGCCATAACATGAGAAAAGACATTTGCTAACACATAAACACAGCTGATACATTACTTTGATGTCTTGCTGCTCTTCGTGGGAGTCCATGGACGTGCTGAATGCGTGCTACATCACAACGTTATTTTTTTTCCTTAAAAATAAAAAGCAGTGAAATAGAGTTTTGTGAGTGGGAAGGGTGCAGCTAACGTTGCGGTTGTGTTGGGGCCTTATATTTTAAAAAGGACATAAGAATGCTGCAGTCCCTTATTAAATTTATTCTAAAGGCGAGAAAAAGTGGGACGCCTTCATTTGATTCGATTCATGCAGTCAGTAAATTAGTTGGGGCTTGATGAATGGAGACTGCAATATATAATACGAGTAATCCAATACAAGTACTCGGACACGCAGATTTCTCGACTACTTCTGGAAATTATAGGAAATTTGTGTCATTGTGAGTCGATCCGTTTTTCTTTTCCCAAAAATTTCTGTTGCCTATTTCGGCTTTCTCGATTTTTTTGGGGAAGGGGGGGTAGTCCTGATCGCCTTGATGATGGAGGCAGCAAGGACCTATGAAACGTAGATAAACTTCTACCAGACTACACGGCGCAACAACCCAGCAAACAGCCATCTTCAGAAAACCTCAAATCCTACATATTTAAACTAATTTTCTACTTTGAAGTCGAACTACGAGGTCAGGGATTGATTGGATCTAAAAATACAGAAATGCGGTAGGTATTGACAAATATCGCCAACATGCAATATGCAAACGCTAGATCACCGCCCGTACAATTAATAAATATGTCTTTTTTATCACCGTAGTGTGTGGAACGTACTTAATTCTTAAACTGCGCTGATATTTTGCAGTATCGAAACAAATCTACGCGTGAATAAATACATTTAAGTAAGGATTCTACGTAACGCAAAAAGGTACAGTTGTCTGTTTGCTTAATCACGTACTGCATCAGGAAGACTTGTGTATGGTGGGAAATGGAGGAAAATATTAACGAATTCTAGATGAGTTGTCAATTTCACGTTACGGTCGCTTAACCCCCAGACAAAGACACCTTGTAGCAGACTGGTTGATCCACAGAGGCGACGTGTATTTGGTGGCGAAAAGGACTACCCCTGTCTCTGCCTGGAATTGAACCCCTGTTTTTAGCCCCCGAGCAAGTCACTGTACCTGCGCCCAGCACACACAGTATATTTAATCAGTAAGTACCAACAGCGCAGAGTAACGTATGTGAACGGACGAAAGGGCAGACTCGCGGACATCTGACGTCTTGCAATGATGAAAAGGGAACTTGGACTTTTATTACATTATAGGAAAGTACCGACTATTTCATAATTTACGCATTTTGAAATCGATGTTTTTGGGTTTTTTCGTGTTTATTGAATTTTCGGTCACTTCATTTAAAATAGACTGGTCTAATAATCACTTCTGCGAGCGAATTCCATAAAATTATTGTGGATTAAAAACTCCTATATCAGTTCCTGCCATTTTAAAATCAGATTAATTTTATTCTAAATATATATTCTAAGTAGAAATTAGGAAGAAAAGTCCTGTATGTTACTTTACTGGAAGAAAGAGTCTTGTATATTGTATCCTAAATTAAATACGTATGGAATGCATAATGTCCTGTGTTCACAACTCTGGAAATAAGTGGATTGTGTGGAATACAAAGAAGGAAATCCATTTCAGGAACAAAAGATGTGTCAAGAGACGAAGAATGTGCCTACTCATAGAAGCTACTGTTTGTCATACTTCTTAGTGCGAATGGAAGTTTATTTCACGGCACTTACTTTATACATGTGCGGTACCGTTCTCCTTCACGAGTTGGCAGTCCCCAAGGGGCGCACATCCCCGCCAGTTCTTCTAGAAATAGCATAACACATCAATAAGATTAATGCGGTCGTACTTGTGTTACTAAAATCAATATTACTGTGGGCGAGACCGAACGTCCCACGTGAATGATTGCAGTTCTGTTTCGTATTTGGTATTGCGGGTTCAGGTCTCAGCCCGGAAGCCAGCTGTCCTGACAGAGGCTTTTCGTTGTTTGCATTTCCTCCAGGCAAACAGGTCGTGATAACTTCGTCGCCCTGGTGATGGAGGCAGTTAGCACCTCTGAAATGTCGGTAAATTTATACCAGACTATACACTGCGCAACATTCAGATAGGAGGTTGAAGCCAGAACAAGAAATCTTCAAGTCCCTGAAGTGAAGAGATGCCGATCTAGCTGAGTTATGAATTTGAACTCAAAACATTTACTGCGTATCCATGCTTTTCATATTATGCTATGACTAAATCCATGGAGCATAGCTTATAGTATCTCAGCTAGTCAAGAAATTTCCCATCACATATGAGGTCTGGAGGTCTCTTACATGTCCACGAGAGCTAGACCCTACTTCTATTTTGAGATCGAATGAACTAATTCTGCATTGTCATCGCCTTATTTATTTAAGATCCATTTTAATATTGTCCTCCCGTCTGTACATTGGTCTACCAGGTGGTCTCTTCCCTTCAGTTCTGTACGAATTTTTCATCTCTTCCATGCACGCTACATGCTCCGCCCATCTCATCTTCCCTAATCCACCCTCACCGTACCTAATGAAGAGTACAAATTATGACGCTCCTCAGTGTAACTTTCTGTACCCTCTGCTTACTTCCCCCTTATTTGCCAAAATATTCTCCTCACCACCCTAATCTGTGTTCTTCCCTTTGTGTGAAAGATCAGGTAATACATTTTAATTTTTATGCACTAAGAAAGAAAATATAGGGGAAAAGAGATTCTGACATTAGTGGTAGAAAGCATTCTCAGGATTTAATCTGATCTTAAGTTCTTCTGATTGATTTATAACTGCCGTTCCCAGATATTTGATCTCAGCCACACATTCGAGCATTTATCACATATTTTTATGCTGTAATATGTATTTATTTGCTTCTAGGTGTTAAAGAACAGGAGAAGAAAAACACTCTGAAAGTAATTTTATAGTTTTCTGGAACTAGGTTTTCTGTATAGGGGCAGATGCCATCGGTCCTCGCCTGATCCATTTCGTGTTTCTGAATAATTCTTCTCATTCGCACGCTGCTCAGCTGAACTGGGGTTCGCGTGCTCGGCGCCACGGGATAAGCCTTTGTAAGGAGGCGTTTTTTATGATTTCTCCTTCGATGGTTTCCGGAGAAAGTCGTTGACCCCCATTCTAATAAAATTTTCACATTTCAGTTGTTCTTGTTACGTGGTCTTTGTGATGGATTTACTAAAGGCAAACAGAATTATAGATTTATGCTTATGGGCGTCTAGTAGAAATGGACCTAGATGTTGTCCACAGCTCTTTACAGTTTTATGTAATTCATTAGCATTGATATTAATGTATTGCAGATAAATGTATGGGCCTTAAATTAATTTGACACTTCTAATATTAAAAAGCATTTATGCTTTATTTTGTTGATGGAAATCTGACATTGATTTATTGACTGCGGTTCGGATGTAGATTTCTGTCTTCGAGTTGTGACGTCGATGTCCGGATACTACAAACGTAATTTTATGAGTTTTCTTGAAACTATTTATTTAAATTCTTAGAAAACCAAATGACTAGGAAAATATTTGGACTGCAGAAGAATGAAGTAAATGTAAACTTCAGGAAGTTTTTGATATATAGGCCCTCACAAGTCACCCAGTAGTCTTACATTTCTACGTGAACGTTAAATATATTCGGAGAAATAAGATTTGTGATTCCTAATTTCATATAAACCTTTTAACACACACACACAGATGAATTTCTCGGTTGTGTGCAGTGTTCAGATTTCTATTATGTTCAGTGTAAAGTCTTACGCAGACAAAAGCAGCCCTCTGGAGTCGTTCTTAACGAGCATCTAACGTGAGTGTGAAAACGAGTTGCATCTGGGGTATATAATATTCTTCATACTGTTGTGTAGGTGTTGGCAACATCTTGTGCTGTCTGTGTGCAGTGTACACGTGCCACAGCTGAAACTGATGCTGGCAGCAAAACCCAAAGCCCAACAGGATGATGAAATGGTTCCGTCCATGTCCCATATTCACAA